CAGCACTGTTTATAATAGCCAGGACATGGAAGCAACCTAGATGCCCATCAGCAGACGAATGGATAAGAAAGCTGTGGTACATATACACAATGGAATATTACTCAGCCATTAAAAAGAAATATATTTGAATCAGTTCTAATGAGGTAGATGAATCTGGAGCCTATTATACAGAGTGAAGTAAGCAGGAAAGAAAACACCAGTACAGTATACTAACACATATATATGGAATTTAGGAAGATGATAATGATAATCCTGTGTATGAGACAGCAAAAGAGACACAGATATATACAACAGTCTTTTGGACTTTGGGAGAGGGCGAGGGTGGGATGGTTTGGGAGAATGGCATTGAAACATGTATATTATCATATGTGAAATGCATCACAAGTCCAGGTTTGATGCATGAGACAGGGTGCTTGGGGCTGGTGCACTGGGATGACCCAGAGGGATGGGATGGGGAGGGAGGTAGGAGGGGGGTTCAGGATGAGGAACACATGTACACCCATGGTGGATTCATGTCAATGTATGGCAAAACCAGTACAGTACTGTAAAGTAATTAGCCTCCAATTAAAATAAATACATTTATATTAAAAAAATTAAAATAAAAATATAAAAGCACTGGACTCTTGAGTTCCAGGCAAGTGGGGGGAAAAAAAAAGGCACAGCATAAATGCAGCCTCATGATTTCCTCGCATGGCTAAGATCCTTTTCTCTGAAATCCGTGGTTCATTTTTACTTTTTAACAATCTTTATTATATTCTGTCTTGAGTTTCCTGCTTGAAATGTCATATGGTGTTGTCAAAACAGCACGGGTGACACCGATCTGAGTTCAAACCCCAGCCTGAAACTGTAGCAGCTGTGTGACTCGGGAAAGTTATCTCTAATAGTAGGAAGGGTAATAATTCTTACTTCTCAAGAGTATGTGTGAAGACAAGTGGAAGTAATATGAGCAAAAAGTCTCTAGTACAGTATCTGAAACCCAAGAGGGGCTTAATAAATGTTCTTCCTCTCATTTTCCTCTTTACTAGATCGTCAGCTTCACAATCAGTGGGTCCATTCAGTTCACTTTTCGCTTTGTAAATTCCTCATTCCCACACTATTTTAAGTAAGGTGTGGGCTCTCCCAAAATACTGGGTGGTTTAACTTTTATTTAGTTAGGATAACTTTAAAATTTTAACTGTATAAAAATAAATGATTATATAAGTGCCTTCAAATTTTAGAGAATACTTACTGATATTCATAAGCTTTATTTGATTTTTGGGGAAAAAATCTTATCTCAGGGTATCTCCGAACATTTTCTTGGGCACAAAAAGAATGATATTGTTGGCAGTCTATACTGCCCACATTGATCAGTCCAATTAATGTCTAAAAAAAAAAGATGAATAGATGAAAGTAATTAGAATTAAATTACCTCCATAACAATTTTTTATGTGTACAATAGAGAAGTAGTTACCGTGAGATGGTTATTATATTATTTACCAGTGATTTTTGACAAATACAAATGGGTAAGGGCCTAAAACATAATAGAACATTTACAATAATGAATTAGAAATCTAATTTTGTAGTCAAAACCTTACTAAAATTATCATAGATTAAATAATTGACTTCATTCATCTATTACATGGGAAAAATTATGTATATCTAAAATTTGACGTGTCAGAAACCAAGAATGAATTTCTTTCCAACAGTATGTCAAAATTACTTTTTAAAATGGAAATGTGGATTGCAGATAGCATACTGAGTCATGCCTGAATTTAAAAATTTCATTGAAAAGAGTAGAAAATTATATTATTATGAATTTAAATACTAGAAATAATTTTAACTCTTAGGTTTATTCATTTTTCACCTTATAAATAAATAAAATAGTAATTGCATTTTCCATTCTGGTATTTAAATAATTTGTTTCCAAGCTTTCATGATTTATAATGCTCTGTAGGAAATTTAAAAATCTAACTATTTCATTGATCAAGGCCATTTTTTCTTTATCATCTTACTATAGTGTGAAGAAGCTGTATTTCTAAGCTCTAAACATGAAGAAGCAGAAAAAAATATTAATAGAAAATAAAGAGGATCTTTGTGTTGATGTTGGCAGAAATTTGGTCAAACCAAGTGACACAGAAAAAAGGGTCATTATTATATACTACTAAATACCAGACAGAAGTAGAGTTGATCAAAACTCTTATTAAGTGACAATCTAGAGGTAGGTTCATTCATCTCAGTTTCAAAGTGATTGCTAAATGAACATTCTTAGTAAATGTTAAGACCTTAAAATATATTATTTTACTATACTCGGACAATAAATTATTTTACTATACCCGGGCCATTCTTTTCCATTCTGGCATTAAGACTTGACATGGATGACACCATGGAGAATAGAAATCAACCATCCAGACTTCATCATGCTTTCTTTGTTTAACCAGTTCGTTGAAAGTGGTAGGTGTCAAAGAGATCACAGAAGGATTCATAAGATCCTGAAGAGAATATACCATTTATTGCAACAGATATAAAAAAGAGTAGTTCACATATTCTTGGGCAAACTGTTGGTATATGTCACTTAGAAAAGTTTCTGCTTTTGAATAATCAAAGGATACATTAGGATATTTAAAGAGAATCTATAGTGGATTATTTGAAGAAATGATCCTTAATTTACTTTTTAAGTTTGGATTCTGCTCATCAGTCTTATTAAATCAAGGAATATTTTCTTATTTCTATGTATCACTAAAACCATCTTAGGCAGAGAAAAGTGGCAACTTGAAGTAAGGTTGTGGGTAGATGAGGCAAGAGTTTCAAGAGCTGCCCAGATGTCTACGTAGGCCATGTAGTTCTTTTTGGAACCAATAATTGGTTTGGAAAGGACCCTTTAATTATTAATGGAAAGCCTACTATCCTATTTTCCTGACATTCCCACTTGAGATATTGCACAACCTCAGATCACTTGCCCCAAATGCTGTTTTGTTAATAACGAGCATCAGTCTATCATGACTGGGTAATACTAATCATGTTAGCTTCCCTGGGGAGACAGACAACACAAAACAAAAAGCTATTATTTTTCAGGAGGAGGAAGAGAAGAGTAGGACAGAGGCTGGGAGGGCAACTGCATAGATAATAAGCTATAATTGTTCGTCTTTCTGTTAGAAGTCCCCTGTTAACTATTCTAGTCAATTAAGATTAGTAGTGATTCAAAAAAAGCGGGGGGGATGCTCTAGTAGAGCACTTCTGGGCTAATAACACAGCAGGCTCGGCATAAGCTGTTGAGGTGTGAAGAAGCATTCCACTGGTGGCTGAGGTAAGCCTGTCCTCAGCCACATATTTCTTGGAACTATCCAAGAATGGGATTCACTGCTATCTAATCTATATGGGACCAGAAAGAAATAATCTGTGGTAGATTAGAGAAAACTAGAGAAAACAGGGGCGGGAGAAGGGTGACAAGGCTTTATGTACAAGTTTTAATTTCATGTATTCAATAATACATGCACAAGGCACCATACTAGGTAACAAACAAAACACACTAGTATGAACTCTGAGAATAAGTCTATTAATAGAAGAGTAGCAAATTTGACAAATCCTATTATTAAACATTATTAAATGCTCATATGAAGTATATACATACATGGAAGGATTTATAGCTATATAGGTTATAACTTAAAATACCTCTACGAACTCCAAGATCTGTTCAGCAGAGTGATGTCCTTCATATTCATGAATGTTGGACTGGTTGAATACCACTGTTGTTGGATAAGCCTGAATGTTATACTGTTAGGAATGAAAATACAAATTATGTAAACATAAGATTCTATATATTTTACCTATTTGCTTCAAATTTATAACCAGTGTGCCTTAAGTAACAACATTTTAAAAGACTCAATGCTTAACTGATGACTGAAAAATTTTAGCCTAGCCACATTTAACAAAGGAAATAGAGATCTACTGCTGTATCCTGAGCAGCTGATTCTTACGTATAGTTACTCCATTAGCCACAAAATCCGTAGGTACCGAACACTGAGGAGGGAGATGGGCATTTCTGAGTGCAGTCCTCTCCTGCTCTCCTGAGCCAGGTGGATGGGCTAAGAGCAGACTGAACTCTGGCTTGAGTGTTCGATTATTTTTATTAAACCATAATAAACACTCCAAATTTGTTCAGAAATAGAAGAAAATCAAGGACATAAAAATAGCAAGTATAAGGAAATAAACTAATAATCCACGTGCACACAGCCCTTTTTAGATTAGAGAATTATGAATCATGTGCTAAAAATGAGGCCACTTTTTACTGTTTGCTCAAAACAGCTTTTATGGTGTGTGTGTGTATATATATAAACCCACTATAATTTCCTTCCTCAGAATTAACATGAGCACTAATTCAGGAAGCATTTCTCAAGTTTTTTTTTTTAAAGGTTATAAATAGATCCCCATGTCTAAATTTGCTGTAGCTGAACTATGCATCCTCAAAGCTGACAAGCACTCATTAGCAAAATGAACTTCAAAAATAACTTCAGAAAAAGCGATGGAAATATTTATTAAACTTTTGAAAATGAGCACAAATAACCCATTAGATGGAAAAAACCATTTATCTAACATTTGACAAGTCCTTACTATGTGTTGAGCATGTTTTTTAGCACTGAAATGTAGTTTCTTATCTGTTCCTCAAAACAATTCTATTTGGAAGCTAAAATCACTGAATCAACTTTACAGATGAGGAAACTGAGGTACTGAGAGGCGCAGTGACTTGGTGGAGATTAACCAATTAGTTAGTAAGGAATCCTGGCCTCTGTTCCAGGTGAATTGTTACAACAGCTTTAAATATCTACATTCTGCTTAATTATCTATAGAAAATTGAAAACTGAGATGAAAAGTAGAAAAACTATAGGAATTCAAATTACTGTTGAACACAATTCTTCATTTTTGCTTAGCAACTTTTCAAAGTCCCATATAAGACATTTAAAACCAAAGGCCTTATTTGTTTCATTTTTTAAACTTATTTTAATGAAATTTCAAATATGACATAGAGAGAGACTCATTTAACAAATACATATCTCTACCACTACATTTAGGGATGATTAACTTTTCTGCCGTTCTGGCAGATCTTTGGAGGTTCTCCTTTTTGATCCCATTTCCTTCCCTTCCTGACGCTAGGAGTAACCAATATCCTGAAATAAGCATGTATCCAATCCACTGACGTTTTACACTTTTGCTACATGCATGTGTATTCCTAAACAGTATACTGTAATGTCTGAGCACTTACAAACTTTCTATAATTTTATCACACTCTGTATACTATTCTACAACCTGCTTTTTTCATTATAGTCTTGAGATTTACCAAACATGCTGGTAAAGACAGATCTAGTTTTAAATCCTCTATGATTATTCTACATGTGACTGGATAATTTATTCATGTATTTGTTACTACTGGTCAGCTAAGTTTTTTTAATTTGATGGAGGAAGGGTATATGACCACTGAAATAACTTGTACTTTATTGAGGACCAGTCAAGTTGAACATTTTTCACATTTATCGAATTTCTGCCTTTATAAAATGTCTAAACCTCCTCATTCTTTTCTATTTTAAAAAACTGATCTGTAGTCTTTAAACATTCTGGACAGTAAGGCTTTGTCAGTTGTATGTGCTGCAAGTATTTCCTCAGTCTGTTGTTTGTTTTGACTTTATAATGTCTCTTTTTTTGGCAACAGTTTTAACATTCAATGAAGCTAAAATCACTGGTAACTTTTATCCTCAGTCTGTGTGTGCAATGGCAGGCATGAGCGTCTCTGTGGAGTGAAATTATTCCTCAGAGAGATGCATAAAGATTTCACCCTATGTTTACTTCTACTTTGCTTTTAAAACACATTGCTTTCTAAAAAAATTGAAGTATAGTTGATTTACAACACTGGTTAGACTTCAGTTCTACAGCAAAATGATTTAGTGTTTTATATATGTATATTTCAGATTATTTTCCACAATAGGTTATCACCACATACTGAATATAACTCCCTGTGCAGTACACTGCCTCTGTAGCTTATTTTATGTGTAGGAGTGTGTATCTGTTAATCTAGTGACTGTAACCTGTCACCTCAGGCTTCGGTAACAAGGTTTGTTTTCTCTGTTTGTGAGCATGTCTCTGTTCTGTATACAGGCTGATTTGTATAGTTTTTAAGATTCCACATATAAGTGATATCATATAATATTTGGCTTTCTCTGTCTGACTTACTTCACTAAGTGTAATATTCTCTGGCCACAACCCCCCCACATCTTAAGCCAACTGTCTGCTGATAGCCACGTGGGTTGTTGCCATATCATGGCTATTGTAAATACTGCTTCTATGAACTGTATCTCTTCAAATTAGAGTTTGTTTTTTTTGGACACGTACCCAGGGTTAGGACTGGATCATACGGTAGTCCTATTTTTAGTATTTTAAGGAACCTTCATATTCTCCTCAGTGGCTGTACCGATTTATGTTCCCATCAGCAGTGTGGGAGGGCTTGTTTCCCCCTACACCGTCTTCAGGGTTTACTGTTTGTAGACTTTGGGTGACAGCCATTCTAACTAACGTGAGGTGATGCTGTCTTATTTATACTTCTCTAATAACCAGAGCTGAACAACCTTCCATAGGCCTGTTGGCTATCTGTATACCTTCATAATAATAATTACTGAAAACCATCAGAAATTCAGTGTTCAAGTTTCTTCAATTATCTTTTTTTGAGTTGGTCTGTTTGAATATAAGGCCTGAACACTGTATTTGAATGATACATCTTATCAGTCTTTTTAATATCTTTTTTCCTTCTTTTCATGTGTATGTTCAATAAACTGCTATTTGTCCTAAAAAGTTCTCTACATGCTGGGATTTGAAGATTGTATGCATACCCCCATATCACTTAATATGTCCTCTGTCACTGGATTTCCTACACACTAATATCTGTAGGCTTGATCTGATTTANAAGTTGAGCTATTGTTCCCTAAACCTGCTCCTTTTCTCACCTTTCCTACCTTGACAATAGCGTAATCATCCACTAGGTGGTAAATCAGATTTCCTAGAGTGATTCTTGCCTTCTCTCTTTGCCTGTGTATCACAGTGCCAACCATTCTATCTCTTACCATCTCCAACCCCTACTTAGGCCACTGCCTAAATTTAGTCTAGCCTACTGAAGTAACCAAACTGGTCTTTCTATCCTGCGTTCCTTAACTAATTCATTTTCTACATTGCTACCAGAGGCAAGTTACAAAAACATCAATCTGATTGTGTGGTCCCCTTGCTTAAAGGCCACTGCTTAAAGAATATACCCCTTGGCTTTGCAAATACTAGCTTTCTTAGGACCAGGACATAATCCATTTTCCCATGTGCCCTCTGATTTATTCACTCAATGTTAAGTAAAGCACCTATTATGTGTCAGGTCCTGTTTTAAATGCCACAGCGCATGCAAAATAAAAGATACACACTTTCTCCTTAAGGAGTTCATAGGCCAACAGAAAAGAAACATTTCATAAATATTTAAACAGTGATAAATGACACCACATTCTCCTGCTTGTTCCCCACTCTTTAGCTACTGCTGCTTGAATTGCTTCATAAATTCTTCTATCTTTGACAATCTTTTAAAAATGATTCACAGGGTCCCAATCTTGTCTCTGTACTCACCTTTGGACAAGGTCATCCTCACCTAAGGCTTCAATTACCAAAGAAAGAGTTTTAGCACAAACTCTTCTCCTGAGACCAGGCCTATATTCAACTGTGAACCGGGGGTGTGTGCTTCATGTCACCTCTTCCCCCAGTGTCCTCTTTCTTACAGAATGGTGCAATCACTGAGTTGCCAAGTCAGAAACTTGAGCTTCCTTTTCTTATCTCCCTACGTTTAAACACAATCATCAAGTTACACTGATTTTGCATTCATTTAAAAATTGTCTGGTTCTCTTCATCTACATTACCAACCTCATCTTACATAAACGACTTCATCAGACTTCTACTTGCTTCCCTCCCTCCAGTTCTGGGCAGCCAGTTAACTTTCTAAAATGTAGAACTAGTTAAGTCACATCGCTGCTTAAATCCATGAGTCTTCGCTCTGTCTCCAGGGTAGAGTCCAAACTAATTTATTACCTGACAGATGAAACACACAATTGGGACCCTGGTGCCATTTCCAGCCTTAAGTCTCAGACCTTTCCTCACTCCACATTCCAGTTATCCTAAAATTCTTGCCTTCTGAGAATGAATAAGGCTCGCTCTTATTTCAGAGTCCAAGAATACACTTACTGGTTCCTGTGCTTGGAATATATTTAACACCTCTTTATTTGTATAACCATTACTTCTACTTAGATCTCAGTGAACAGACTGCTTTCTCTAACCTCAGAAAATTACTCCATCTCTGTATTCTTCCTAAGTGTAACCCATACTCATCTTAGGGTAGATATCTGCAAGGTAGCCTTCAGTGACCCCTGTCTCAAGGACTCACACCACGGTTGTACCAGGGTTGGTATATATAATCAATAGAATATGGTGAGTGCGCTGGTTTATACTGTCTGAGATCAGATTATAAAATATACGACTGCTTCTGTGCATGTGTGTCTCTCCATCATCCCTTCTGGGATAAGGAAGCAGCCCCCCAGAGAGGTCCATCCTGTGAGGAACGGAGGCCTCCTGGCGATGCCTTGAGTCAACTCTTCACATCAGGTGGCCAAAGTACTCACAAGTAGCTAGAGCTAAAATTATTTGCAGGGGCAGAGGTGGGAGATGAGGTTGGAAAACCAGGCAGAGGCAGATTAACTTAGCAACTATTTACTGAATTCCTGTTATGCACCACCATGCTAGGTGCTGGAAATACAGTGGTGACCAAGACAAAGTCATTGCTCCTATGCTAGGGAATCTGAAGTTTATTCTTAAGGAGATCAGAAGACTCAAGGCAGAAAAGAGACATATGAAGGTTCCAGGTATTCTATGGTAGTAAATCTGCAAAGAAAACAATTAATTGTAAAGAAAAAATGTTATGAGGCAGATAATTATACTGGAGGATATTAGACAAGATGGAGATGATGGATCTGAAATAAGGCAGCAAGCATAGACTAGAGAAGGAATCTGAGAAATATTTCAGAGGCGGAAAAGAACAGAACACTATGAAACCTTAGGTCATTTCCAGCACTTTTACGAGGTGGCATAGTTTAGCGCAGCTCTAAGTCTAGGCTTCAGAGTCAGACATATTTGGATACAAAATCTACCTTCACCAGTTATTTTATCTTTCTGAGCCTAAGTTTTCTGTCTTGCTGTGAAGATATAAATGGACATGCACAATATGCAAATAGGTTTAGGAAAACATCTCATTTATAAAAAACACTGAATAAACAGTAGTCACTGTTAAATTTATCTTGTTGTCTTTGCTCACATAGTTCCTTTAGTCTAGGGGACCTCGCTTGTTTTCTTGTATTTGCCTGGGGAAACTGTTCAAATGTCACCTTAATTCAAATATCACCTCCTGATGCAAAAGTCTCTTTATTTGATCTTGTAATTTATAATGACTATTACAATGTCCTTCATATTTTCTTAAAAATCTCCCTCTTCTCACCCCCCTGCCACTAGATGATATTTTAAACTTCCTGAGAGCAGAGTCCATATCTTACAATTTTGCATTCCTAACACCTGTAAGAATGCTTCTCACATTACAGGCATGGTATCAATATCTGTTATTTACTGTCAATGTGAGTAGTTTGTGTCTATCTTTTCCTACACTTGGCTTTTTTCAGGACAGAGACAATGATCTATACCAAACCTCAGGAACTGGAACTGCATCTACATGATGCAGGGCTAATGTCCTGAACAAGCTGAAATGCAGAAATACAAAATCAAAATTCAAGAATGCTAACAAAGCAGTTAACGAAGATGTTTGGTCATCAAGTGTTGGAAAAACATCTAATAGACTATCTAGAAATTGCCCATTATGGTTGAGATGCTACATTAGGTACACTGAAATGGAAACGATAGGTGTTGCTTACTTTTGTCAACCAGTAAGACCCTTAAATTCTTTACTAGCCTGACAAGTCACCAGAGTTCTTACTGAAACACTGATCAAAATATTAGGTAGAAGAAAGGGATTTATTTTAAAAAGAATAAAGAAGAGAAAATAACTATATATAATTAAATATATCTTTCCCTTTAAGAAACATTTACTAATAAATGAAAGCAAAGTTATTTTAAAATAATCATGTCCATATAAAACAAGGTAAAAAGTAAAATTAAAAATGAAGAAATTTTACAATCATTTTTTCCTTCTTACCATGATGAATTTCAAATTCTTTGGTTCCCTGTCCTTTAAATACTGCGAGACATGGCTGAAAAACATAGAAGTTACTACAGACGTCTGGTGCAGAGGAACAGTCAAACTTGCCAACCTAAAGGAAGAGAGAAAGTTCAATATGTTGAAAATAAAATCTTATCCATTCAACTAAATATTCATAAGGATAATCCAAAAATGACATTGCTATAAAAACAACACAGCTTCTAAACAAGTTAGTGGACCATGAAAATAAGAAACAGGAATCATTAATTTACATTTAACACTGAAACTACGTTTAGTTTAAATAATGCCTCTTGGAGATCTCAAAAACCTGAGAGGAAATTACCAAGAAAATACTAAGTTGTTTATGAAGCCCATCTTTCTAAAAACTTAGAGGATATTTATATTATCTTGACAAGGGGGAGAGAAAGAACCTAAGACTGCAGAAGCAGAAATAATAAAAAGGGTGACATTTTCATATAGTGTAGGGAGAAAGCTAGTAGGCAAATGATAAACCAAGAAAAAATATTTGCAGCATTTAAGATAGAGGATTTCTATTAAGAAATAAAAGATAAACATCCCATCAAGAGAAAGAAAAAGTGGGGCAGAGACATACATAGAAAATAAAGTAGAAAGCAAAAAATAAAAATGAGTATTATTAACATCTCCCTTCTGGCCTATCCAAGCAGTGCTGCTTATAAAAGTGTAACACCAGGCCTGGCACTGGTGTAGGGAAGTGGTCACTCCCACACTGTCAGTAAGAAGGCAGGCTCTGATAACAAGGACAAAACACTTTTAAGAAAATATAACCTTGGCTCAAGAAATTCCTCATAGTGCATTTTTCCAATGTATCTGTCTGACATAGAAATGGAAACACCTGAAAGTTACCAGTAAGACAGAACAGGTTAAACAATTATAGTGCAGCCATACAGTGAGATACTACTCAGTCTCTAGATGATGACTGATACACATATGTACACAAAAATATACACATCAATATATATTACACTGGTATGTAGAAAGGTTTCTAATCACTAAATGGAAAATTTTACAGAAGAGAATAAAAGCATACATATAAATTTACATGTGTATGTCTGTTACCATGGCCATTACAATATGCATATAGGTGCACATATATACATATGTGCACATGCTAACACAAACCCATGTTTAAAAAGCCTCAACAGTTATTAACAGAAAATTCTTAACAGTGGTGAAAATATGGATAATTTTTAGATCTAACTCATTTTTGTACTTATTTATAATATCTTAATTTAAAATAATGAACATGAATTACTTATATAAAGAAACAAGTACTTAAAAAAGGGTATAGTTTTCTGCATTCCAGAAAAACTATATCATATAGATTTATCACATAGCAACTGCTCAAGAGTAATGAAGGTTAAACTTTTTCAGATATCATTTTAATTTGCAGTACAAAAAAAAAACAAAATAGAAGAACAAAAGCATTTAGGGGTTTCTAAATTTAGAATTTAACTAAACATCTTAATGTTATTTAAAACATAACTTTATGTACTAAATTAAGACAGCACAAAAGCAGAAGGGTAGGCAGAATACATTTTTCTTACTTGAATATGTTCATTTTTAAGTAGAGTTTTTAGTTTCTTCAACTCAGGATCATTTGAATTTTCATTTTGTCCAAAGTGAAAAAATAAGAGCCACCGATGATGAGCTAAACGATCCTTAAAAGTGATTTAAAAAGAAAGTGATAAAGGGAAAGAAACAAGAGATGAGAAATCCTAAGAGTTCTAATCTTTATTTCTTTAACTATCCTACCTATTACTTCAAAATACTGTCTAAAATTCAGACCCAGTCATATTCTTATTTTGTAGTTTATATATAAACCAATTATATAGTACTATAGAAAGAAAACAGCCACTAAATCATAATATCTTAAGGTAGAGGACTGTGCTAAGAAAAAACACAGTTTTAATGACACAACTAAAATGCTGAAAGGTGAGGAAGTCAGATTTTTTTCAGGTTTAACATAAAGTTTCATAGGGATATAGACTTAGAAAACTCTGGGATCAATAAGCAGAAGAAATTAATTGATTCTACTACAAACTGAATGTTTCTAAAGCTGCTCTGTAATTCCCAGTGAACAACACAAATTGTTCTGTAGGAGGAACAGAGAGCTCCAGATCAGATTCAAAGTTGCTTTGTGATCAGCATCTTGTCTTTTCTGGTGCTCTTCCTCAACTTGGCTTCAGGACTAGTTACACAAAGCTATGGGTCCACCCTCAAGTTGCAATCGCAGCAAACCTGGCATTAGAATTTAACCTGGAATCAACTGATAATATTAAGACCTGAAATGTTATCAATATTTGTTACAATTTATTATTAAAAAAAAATTACCTGTAGTGTATTTGCTGAAAGAAGTTCAAAATCTGGAAGATTATGCATTATTTCCAAATAAATTTCTTTAGCATCCAATGAATTAAGAAACTAAAATAAGAGAATCATATTGTTATTTTTTAAATCAACATTTGAGTATTTCAGTATCTTAGTTTTTCAGTTTTCAGAGAAAGAACTTTTAAGAAAAAACCACAGAAGTAACCCAGTTTTCAAGCTATTTATCCTAAATGTTTCCTTTAAAAAAAAAAAAAGACCGTATATCATATTTTGGCAATTATTAAAGAGTTATATAACTGGGTCGTTTCTTTAAAAATAGTGATGCAAAATAAATTTCATTATTAGGTGTTTTATTACCTGGAATTTTCTGTATTCTATGATAATCCTCAAAATAACCTTGAGTGACCTCTGGCTCACTGGCGGGAAAAGCTGTATCATATTCAATCTAATTTTAATACTCACCATGTTTTACAGAATGCCAGTGCTTTACAAATTTTCTAAAAATTGTTAAAACAATAGAATATTTGACGATCTAATACGATGCTTTATGGGCTTCCCTGGTGGCTCAGTGGTAAAGAATCTGCCTGCAATGCAAGAGACCAGGGTTCGATCCCTGGGTTGGGAAGATCCCCTGGAGGAGGGCAAAGCAACCCACTGCAGTACTTTTGCCTGGAGAATTCCATGGACAGAGGAGCCTGGCGGGCTACAGTCCACAGGGTCGCACAGAGCTGGACATGACTGAAGCAAGTAAGCAGCAGCAGCAGCAGCAAGACAAGACGCTTCATATCCCGATTAATACTGGCAGAGAGTGCAGAGGAACTGAAGAGCCTCTTGATGAAAGTGAAAGAGGAGAGTGAAAAAGCTGGCTTAAAGCTCAACATTCAGAAAACTAAGACCATGGCATCCGGTCCCATCACTTCATGGGAAANCTGAAAAGACCCTGATGCTGTGAAAGATTGAGGGCAGGAGGAGAAGGGGACAGCAGAGGATGAGATGGTTGGATGGCATCACCGACTCAATGGACATGGGTTTGGGCAAACTCCAGGAGTTGGTGATGGACAGCCATGGGGTCGCAAAGTGTCAGACATGACTGGTGACAACTGAACTGAATTGAAGGAATTAAGAAAAACTTATGGGAAAACTGGAATGGACCTTGTTTATTATAGAGGTTTATAGAAATAAAGTCCCTGAACCAAACCACTGAGGAGTTTTGCAGGGTAAAATGTATATACGTAAAATATGTATTTTAAATTAAATACACTTTAGATCTGGGTCTGTTATTTAAAATGCAAACAACTGAAATAGACACATCTCAATTCTAACAACTGTCTATTTCTGTCCATATTTTATCCTCAGCATGTTTTTTTTTCATGGAACTCCCTTTGCCAGTCTAATTCTCATGGAAGCAGCTGCTGTTACCAAAAGTGTAGCAGCAGTTACATCAAGAAAACGTATACAGGGGTTGATCAGTTTACTGTCTATCTTTAAACTATTTTCTTGACAATTCAAATATCACCTCAAAGATATAAAACTCTATTAAAAACCTGTAGAAACTATTACTGTATTCAGTTTAATTATGTTCAACATGAGAACACAATCAAATGGATAGAAACAATGTCTATAAGAACAGAAAACTCGGTTTTTCTGCATACTCTCAAAAACCTACGAAATAATTTGTTACCAAAGGGCTTAAAAGGTCAAAACAGAAAGCTTTCCTGTTTCAATACTATAAAGCTCATTCACTTTACTCACAGTCATCAAAAATTTTATGTAATTTATAAATTCACTAGAACTTCATTATAAATCTGTTTTAGAGTAAAATTTGGTAGTTTTATTTACAAGGGTATTGTGCAGCCTCTAAATTTCACCTGCCAAACGTATTTAGCTAGCATATTATTTTACATTTTTAAAAAACTTGAATGCTTTAGGAGGGACAAGGACTTTAATTCATCACCCTGTGTTATCACACTTCTAATATCACTTATCTATGTTTCCTGAGACCGTATCTGAGCTTGCCGTTTTAACCAAAAAGTCCCAAGATCTCACTGAAAAATGAGATTGTTGTGCTGAAGGTAAGAGCCTGTGTTTAGTGTTGACTAGAGCACAGGAAATCCTCACGAGCTAATGGCACAGTGTAAAAGAAACCCAGGTTTTCTGGGAAATCTGGCAACATGAATTGAATTTGCAACTGCTACAGCCATCTCATTCTAAATAGATAATGGGAGAACTACACAAAGGTGAACAAGACAGTTCATTATAACACTCCTTGTTATCATGAAAAAGTAGAAATTTANAGTGTGAAAGAAACCCAGGTTTTCTGGGAAATCTGGCAACATGAATTGAATTTGCAACTGCTACAGCCATCTCATTCTAAATAGATAATGGGAGAACTACACAAAGGTGAACAAGACAGTTCATTATAACACTCCTTGTTATCATGAAAAAGTAGAAATTTAAATATCTATCCAGAGAGGACTGGTTAAACTCATTGTGTTACATTTAGTCAATTAATTAGTTTCTAGGAATTGTTGATGCACACATTCACAGGAATTATATATACTAGTACTCAGGGACACACACACACACAGTATAAAGCACTTAAGCAGGCACTAAATGGGCTTCCCCTGTGGCTCAGCTGGTAAAGGATTCGCCTGCAATGTGGGAGACCTGGGTTCAATCCCTGGGCTGGGAAGATCCCCGGGAGAATGGAAAGGCTACCCACTCCAGGATTCTGGAACTACATATAGTACTTATGTGCCAGATACTCTTCTACGCCCTTAGGATATGTCAGTGAAAAATTCAAACTTAAAATTTACTGCAAGAGAATAAATATAGTATATAAGGTGAAAGAATATAATATATAAGGTGATAAGTACAATGAGGTGGATTATGAAAGATTGTAAAGAGATCCAACTATTTTCCTGATGAATAGGGTATAGGTTATAAGGTATGAGAAAAAGAGGGGTCAAGAATGACTCCAAGGTACTTGGCCTTAATCATAAAAGATGAAGCTTTCATTAACTGAGATGGGGAAAAACTAGGTAGAACAGATGTATGGGGAAATATCAGGAGTGTAGTTACAGACACCTAGGTTTGAAACATCAATTAATATCCCAGGGGAGAAACTGAACAGGCTGGAGAATAACCATGTCTGTAGTGGAGGGCAGAGGTCTGGGCCAAAGGCAAAGCTGGTGAGTTGTCTGCATGAAGTCATAATTTCATACACATATAAGCAGAGATCTGGAAGGGTATGTACCAAGATTTGATGGTGCTTGCCAATGGGTGATTTAGTTTTAACAAATTTCAAATCTTTCTTTACACATTTATAAATCAAATATGAATTTCTATAATGAATACATGTAATCTATATCAATATCAAAAAAAGAAAAATAAAAACAGAAAACTACAGGTAGTTTGTCTTATATTACAATCTTTTTTTGTGGGTTCTCTGGAGACCTATCTGATATCCCAGTATTTGTTTCAGCTCCTTGACAGCTATCTTGATTCAGCTTCTTCATTCATAAAATTAGGAAGGTGAACCAGACCAGTAGATCACCAAACTAAGTTTATATCAGAGTCAAGAGGAGGCTTTAAAAAAAACAGACACCAGATTCCAGCTAAACCTACCAATAATCTATATTTTAACATTAGAAAATATAGAAATAAATGGAAACCAATAAATATTTATTTAACCTAAGAATGTATTCCTTACCTTTGGGATTGTTAAAAGTGCAGTTTAAAAATAATCCTTACAGTGTAACTTTATAAACTGAAGTATTAAACAGAATCCAAAATATTAAGTATTTGTTCTAAATAAGTGTTCCATAATCAGATGATAGAAGCTGGTTCATTTTTTTTTTTGCTCATTGTTTACAAAATGATACATTTGAATGCATGTGTTATGTATCTATATGTAAAGAAATTAAAGGGATTCATACCAAAATACCGCTTTTCTCTTTGTTATTTAAAGTGGCTCCAGGAGGAAAATAGGCAGTAGTACTTGTTGTAATATCCAAACTCTTACAAAGGTTGTCCTGGGTGGCACAGTCCACCCATCCTACATTAACAAGACCATCCTAAAATGAAAAAATAATATTGCAAGTTGAAAAAAGTTAAAAGGATTTATATTTAGCAAAAATACAACTTCACTACCATAAAAATTAAACTTTTAAAAAGAACATGAAAAATGATGCAGATTTGAATAACATGATTAATAAACTTGATCAAATAGATATAAAAATTACACCTCACATAGGAAACATTTTAAAGCATACACAGAACACTAACAATCTTTGTAAAACAAACCAAATCTTGGCCAACTCCCAACCCACAACGACAGCTTTTATAGTGTTAAAGTATCAACACATAAACTGTACTCCCTGACCATAATATGATGAAAGCTAAGTAAGTAAAATAACAAAACAACAAAAAATTGTCATTTGGAAATGACAAAAACACTAACTCTGGTTAAAGAGGAACTCATAATTAAATTATGGAATATTTAGGAGTGAATGAAAGCACTACATGTTAAAATATATTGAACACAGCCAATCAGTTAGAAAGACGCTTATAACTATGAATACATAGATCAGAAAACAAGGAAGATTACAAACAAGTGAGTTAAATGTTCAAGAAACCAGCAAAGAATCTATCTGGAATCAGTTTTTAAATGTGTTTCTTAACATGGTGATACAGTTTTGCAAAATAATTGATGCTTACCAACATACCACTTAACCTGAGACGTGTCTGTGAGGTCAAACAATCTGGGGGGAAAAAAGAAACTTATGAGGAAATTTCAGCTCTTAAGTATTAAATCTATACTTTCATTTGCTGCAAACCATGATGTTGATTCTAAGGCAATTAACTGGGCTGTGCTGGTAAATACTGAGACTGTTGTTTACTAGGTAGACACAGAGGTCAATGTCTCATTCTTCTCCCTCCTCNAAGTTATGACAAATCTAGACAGCATATCAAAAAGCAGAGACATCACTTTGCCAACAAAGGTCCATCTAGTAAAAGCTATGGTTTTTCCAGTAGTCATGTATGGATGTGAGAGTTGGACCATAAAGAAAGCTGAATGCCAAAAAACTGATGCTTTCAAACTGTGGTGTTGAAGAAGACTCTGGAGAGTCCCTTGGACTTCAAGGAGATCAAACCAGACAATCCTAAAGAAAATCCAGCCTGAATATCCATTGGAAGGACTGATGCTGAAGCTGAAGCTCCAATACTCTGGCCACCTGATGCCAAGAGCCAACTCATTTGAAAAGAACCTGATGCTGGGAAAGATTGAAGGCAGGAGGAGAAGGGGACGACAGAGGATGAGATGGTTAGATGGCATCACCGACTCAACTGAACATGAGTTTGAGCAAGGTTTGGGAGTTGGTGATGGACAGGAAAGCCTGGTGTGCTGCAGTCCATGGGGTCACAAAGAGTCAGACACAACTGAACAACTGAACTGAACTCTTTTATGAAAGTTCTATAAATATGAATGCTAGGATACAATGAGATAGATTTATAAGGGAGACACAGCATCATGGACCTTACAGAGATAGGCAAAATCAACCTACCTGTTATAGAAGTAAGATAATGTGAGAAAGTTTTTAAAGTTTTCTTCATGTGTGGAAAGGACAGAAATTTGTGCATTAGGTCAAAATGAGATAAAATCCCTCAATGACAGACTAAGGGTGATTAAGTGATTTTTGCTGCAAGGCAATACCTTCCTAAGATGGGATAAGTGGTTGATTTTAGCTGCAAAGCAATAGCTTTTCAACACAGCGGCTTAAAGGCTGAGAGATGAAGTATAGGGAAAAGACCCTTGTTGGAGTTAAACAAAGAGGAGTGTATTAATTGGGATATTTTCTAACACTAGGACTAATTTTTAACCAATCTTATTGCTTAAATATAGTTTACAGTTTGTGTAGGGTATTGAACTTTAAACTTAATTTACTAAGGTAAAAGGTCCTAGAATTGGAAATTTATCATCTTGAAATGTATACTTTAATGAGGCAAACATGTACATTTTTGAAATAAGTATGAGGGAAGAAATCATTTTGGGAGAGTTATATCTATCAACAATTATTTTTGCAAAGTGACCAAAACATTAGTATCTTACAGTATAATTTCCTATGAGTACAATTAAGCTGAAAAATCTGCCCACTGAACATAAACCACAATACTTTAAGAAATTAATAACTGTAGAAGAGAGATCGAGATGGTAGAGTAGGAGGACATGGAGTTCACCACCCCCGACAAACATTAAAAAAAAAAATAAAAAAGTATGTGGAACAATTCTCATGGAAAACTAACTGGAAAACGGCAGAACGACTCCTGTACAACCAAGGCTGCAAAAAAGATGTTCCCACAACCAGATAGGATGGAAAAGGCAGAGGGTTGGGACACCTGCCTGAAAGGGATCTGAAAGAAAAGAAGGTTGCCACAAGGAGACCCTCACCGTGGGGAGCAAGTGGGCTGAGTCACAGACTGGGCAATGCTGTCATGGGGGTCCTGCGAGGAGGAGACAAGACCCTTGGCTCCTGGAGAACTGCTGGGACAGACAGAAGGCCTAGAGAAGCCGAGACGATTCAGGAGGCAAACACACGTGCTGGCTTACCAATGATCAGGGGCAGAGCTTTGGAGGGGCGGTCGCCACCTCACCACACTCTCCAACATGAGTAGCTTGAGTATCTGGCCCTTCTCACTCCACACCACAGCCTGATATATTAGATCTGGGCCGAGCAGGTCCTGGGAAGACTCAGCCTAGCTAGGCAGAGACAGACTGGGGCCCCGGGATGTGATCTGGATGCAGCGGAGGTGGTCATGTCAGTACTCGCTTGGGCAGTGCTACGGGGCCCCCTGCAGCTTGCCTCCCAGTGGGGGCACGCCCTGGCCTTGGGGTTGGGGGACACAGGTCCTGGGAGAGGACTGGCACTGAGGCAGCCCTGCTCTCTGGGTGGTGGCAGAGCCACCCCAAGTCCGAGAGCCACAATGCCGCGGCCCCCAGCCTGGCAGATGCTCTAGCCCCACCCACTCCAAACCACAGCCGTGCACTGGATCTGGTGTGAACACAACAGAAGAAAGGATGAGACCTTGGGCTGCATCTGAGTAGAGCCTCAGACACCTACACTGGTCCTGTGAGCACACAGGCCTCACTTGCTTCAGTAGCCGCCTCCTCAAGGGGCAGGGCACCACTCAAGGAGAATGCAGCCTGGTTCACCCTGACCCTCAGGGCAGCTACTCTGACAACTGGGGAGCAGACCTTATCCCTGTCAGGGTGGCAGCAGCCATGGAGCAAAGAGAAAAGTCCCACCTCACTCTGCCCAGGCTTCAGACTTCCCAAACCAACCAATGCCCCCCAGTAAGGTGATAACAACCAGTGGCAAGATGTAAGGACCTGAAGAAAGATGTGACTGGTGTCCATATCAAAACTAACTCTCGCACCAGACACTGTACATATGGTCTACATAGGGATGCTCCCATATAAAAACACCCCTCTAAGACCATAATAGATAATCATTTCTCCTAAATTCAGAGACAGAGAAAGTAAAATGAAAAGGCAGGGGAAATATTTTCAATTGAAAGACTAAGAAAAATCCACTGAAACAAATAATGAAATAGAGCTCACTAGTCTAGCTGACCCCAAGCTCAAAAAAGTGGCAATAAAAATGCTAAATGAATTAAGAAAGATCAATATAAATGCAGATCACTGTAACAAGAACTAGAAACTATAAAGATGAACCAATCAGAAACAGATAATTCAATTTTTAAGATAAAAAGCAATCTAGAAGCAATGAACAGCTAATTAAATGACACAGGAGAATAAATAAATAATCTAGAAGACATAATAGAAATCACCCAATTAGAAGAACAGAAAGACAAATGGGAAAAAACCTGAAAGAAACATACAAGATATAAGGGATAATGTCAATATGCCAACCTATGCATAACAGGAGGAGAAGGCAATGGCTTCCCACTCCAGTACTCTTGTCTGGAAAATCTCATGGATGGAGGAGCCTGGTAGGCTGCAGTCCATAGGGTTGCTAGGAGTCGGACACAACTGAGCGACTTCACTTTCACTTTTCACTTTCATGCATTAGAGAAGGAAATGGCAACCCACTCCAGTGTTCTTGCCCGGAGAATCCCAGAGACAGGGGAGCCTGGTGGTCTAACGTCTATGGGGTTGCACAAAGTCGGACAGGACTGAAGTGACTTAGCAGCAGCAGCAGCATGCCTAACAGGGGTTCCAGAAGAAGAGAGAAAGACATCGAAAATTTATTTGAAGAAACTATGGCTGAAAACTTCCCAAGTCTAAAGAAAAAGAGATAACCAACCAGGTACAAGAAGCGCAGAGGTTCCCAAAGATGATGACCCAAACAGACCCACAACAAAACATATCATAATTAAGATGGCAAAACTTAAACATAAAAAGAGAATTCTAAAGGTAGCAAGAGAAAAATGAAGAATAAATTACAAGGGAACCCGCATAAGGCTATCAACTGATCTGCAGGCCAGAAGGCAGTGGCATAATCTACTAAAGTCTTGAAAGGGAAAAACCTGCAACCAAGGATACTCTATACAGCAAAATTACCATTCAGAAGGGGAGATAAAAAAATTTCTCTGACAAGAAGAAACTGAAAGGATTCNCAGGCAGATTCTTTACCAGCTGAGCCACAGGGAAAGCCCAAGAACACTGGAGTGGGTAGCCCATCCCTTCTCCAGTGGATCTTCCCGACCCAGGAATCAAACTGGGGTCTCCTGCATTGCAGGTGGATTCTTTACCAACTGAGCTATGAGGGAAGCCCACCTAGACAGCATTTTAAAAAGCAGAGACATTACTTTGCCAACAAAAGTCTGTCTAGTCAAAAGCTGTTTTTCCAGTAGTCATGTATGGATGTGAGAGTTGGACTATAAAATTGAGCATCAAAGAACTGAATCTTTTGAATTGTGGTGTTGGAGAAGACTCTTGAGACTCCCTTTATCTGCAAGGAGATCCACCAGTCCATCCTAAAGGAAATCAGTCCTGGATGTTCATTGGAAGGACTGATGCTGAAGCTGAAACTCCAATACTTTGGCCACCTGATGCGAAGAGCTGACTCTTCTGAAAAGACCCTGATGATGGGAAAGATTGGGGATGGGAGGAGAAGGGGACGAGAGGATGAGATAGTTGGATGGCATCACTGACTCAATGGACATGAATTTGGGTAAACTCCGGGAGTTGGTGATGGACAGGGAGACCTGGCGTGCTGCGGTTCACGGGGTTGCAAAGAGTTGGACAAGACTGAGCGACTGAACTGAACTGAGCTCATCTTTGCTGAATATAGGTGCAAAAATCCTCAACAAAAGACTAGCAAACTGAATCCACCAACACTGAAAAAGGATCATATACCATGATCAAGCTGGATTCATTTCAGGGTCACAAGAATGTTTCCACATGTGCAAATCAATCAATGTGATATTAACAACAACAACAAAAAAATCACATGATCACATGATCATCTCAACAGAAGCAGAAAAATCATTTCACAAAATTCAACAGCCATTCATGATAAAAACTTTCATAAAAGTGGTTGTACAGGGAACATATTACAACATAAGAAAAGGTCACTTACAACAAAGCCACAGGCAAAAACATAATACTCAACAGTGAAAAACTGAAAGCCTTCCCTCTAAATTCAGGAACAAGATGAGGATGCCCACTCTCATCGCTTCTATTCAAGTATTGGAGGTCCTAGCCACAGCAATCAGACAAGGAATTGTTCAGAGCAATCCTAAAGAAAAATAAAGCAGGAGGCATCATCCTACCAAACTTCAGACAATGCTATAAAGCTACATTAATCAAAAGAGTGAGGTAGGCACAAAAACAGATATATGGATCAATGGGACTGAATAGAAAGCCCAGAAATAAACTCACACACCTATGGTCAATTAACTTTCAACAAAGGAGGCAAGAATATACAATGGGGAAGGATGATCTCTTCAGCAAGTGGTGCTGGAAATGTTAAGAGAGCCACAGGTAAATCAACGAAGCTGGAACACACTCTGTCACCATAGGGAAATCAACTCAAACTAGCTTCAAGACTCAAATAGAAGATGTAACACCATAAACTTCCTAGAAGAAATCACAGGCAAAACATTCTCTGACATAAATCATACCAATGTTTTCTTAGGTCAGTCTCCCAAGAGAATAAGAATAAAAACAAAAGTAAACAAATGGGACCTAATCAAATTTAAAAGCTTTTGCATAGCAAAAGAAACCACAAACAAAACAGAAAGACAACCTACAGAATGGGAGAAAATATCTGGAAACAGTGCAGCCAACCAGGGCTTAATTTCCAAAATGTACAAATAGTTCATAAAATCCAACAGCAAAAAGTCAACCCAATCAAGAAATGACCAGAAGACATAAAATAGACATTTCTTCAAAGAAGAAATACTGATGGCCAATAGACACATGAAAAGATGCTCAATGTTGTTAACTATTAGAGAAATGCAAATGATAACTGCAGTGTGGTACCACTTCCAGTCAGAGTGACCATCATTAAAAAGTCTACAAATAACAAATGCTGGAAAGGATGTGGATTAAAGGGAACCCTCTGACATTACTGGTGGAATGTCAGCTGGTACTGCCATTATAGAGAACATTATGGAGCTTCCTCAAAGAACTAAAACTAGTATTACCATAGGATCCAGTAATCCCATCCCTAGGCGAGAAAGTGAAAGTGAAGTCACTCAGTTGTGTCCGACTCTTCCCAACCCCATGGACTGTAGCCTACCAGACTTCTCCATCCATGGGATTTTCCAGGCAAGAGTACTGGAGTGGGTTGCCATTTCCTTCTCCAGGGGATCTTCGTGACCTGGGGATTGAACTCCAGTCTCCTGCATTATAGGCAGATGCTTTATATATCCAGACAAAACTCCAATCCAAAAAGATACATGCAGCCGTATGCTCAGAGCAGCACTATTCACAACAGCCAAGATACGAAATCAACCTAAATGTCCATTAGCAAGTTAATGTATAAAGACGTGGTACATATATACAATGGAATACCATTCAGCCATAAAAAAACAACAACATGATGCCATGTGCAGTAACATGGATGGAATTAGAGGTTATCATACTAAGTGAAGTAAGTCAGAAGAAAGAGGAAGACAGCATATGATATGGCTTATATGTGAAATCTAAGATATGACACAAATGAATCTATCTATGAAACACAGTCACAGATACAGAGAACATACGGGTGGTTGCCAGGAGAGGGTTTGGGAGGAGGGACAGAGGAGGAGGTTGGGGTTGCACAGAATGAATAAACAAGGTGCCAGTGTACAGCACAGAGAACTACATTCAATCTCCTACGATAAACCACAACGGAAAGGAACAGAAAAAAAAGGATGCATACACATGTATAACTCAACCACTTAACTACAGCAGTAGTTAACAGAACTCTGTAAAACGACTATACTTCAATTAAAAAAAAAATATAAAGCTTTAAAGACCTAAATATAAGACATGACCTCATAAAACTCCCAGAAGAAAACACAGGCAAAACATTCTCAGACATACCTTGTAGCAATATTTTCTTAGATCAGTTTCCCAGGGCAAACACAATAAAAAAGCAGAAGTGAACAACTGGGACCTAAGCAAACTTACAAGCTTGGTTTTGTAAGTATGCACAGTAAAGAAGTCATCAATAAAATGAAAAGACAAGAAACAGGAGAAAATATTTGCAAATGATGTGACCAAAAGGGGTTAATAACTAAAATAGTAAATAGCTCACATGACAGAAATAACAAAAAAACAAACAACCCAATCAAAGAATGGGCAGGGACTTCACTGACTGTCTAGTGGTTAAGAATCCACACTTACAATGCAGGGGTCATGAGTTCGATCCCTGGTTGGGGAACTAAGATCCCACATGCTGTGTCGTGCAGCCAAAAAAAAAAAAAAAAAAGGCATAAGACCTAAACAGACATTTCTCCAAAGAGGACATATATATAGACAGCCAACAAGCACATGAAAAGATGCTCAATGTGGTTACTTATTACAGAAATGCACATCAAAACCACAATGAGGGATCATCTGACACCAGTAAATATGGCTATTATCAAAAAGTCTACAAATAAATGCTGGAAAGAGTGTGGAGAAAAGGAACCCCACCAAACTGTTGGTGGGAATATAAATTGGTACAGTCACAATGGAAAAGAGTATGGCAGTTGCTCAAAAAAACTAAAAATAGATCTACTGTATGATCCAGCAATTCCACTCTTGGGTATATATCCAGAAAAGACAAAAACTCTTAATTTGAAAAGATATATGCACGTGTATGTTCAAGCAGAACTATTTACAATAGCCAAAAACGAGAAATAACTCAAGTGTCCATCAACAGACAACTCGCTTAAGAAGATGTGGTGTGGATACAAGGAGTAGTACTTGGCCATAAAAAGAATGAGATGTTGCCATCTGTAGAAACATGAATGGACCTAGAGAATATTATACTTGGTGAAGTCAGACAAATATGATATTTATATGTGAAATCTAAAAAATAATACAGATCAATCTATATACAAAACAGACACAGAAAACAAACTAACGGTCACCAGAAGGGAGAGAGACGAAGGCAGGGGCAGATTAGGGAGTGTGGGATGTGGGATTAATGGATACAAACTACTACACATAAAATTTATATGAAGGATTTACTGTATAGTACAGAGCATTTTACCCAGTATTGTGTAACAACCTATAATGGAAGGTATCCCACAAAAATTCAAACTGAATGCTATACACCTGAAACCAACACAATATTGCAAATATATACTTCAACTTAAAACAAGCAATTAATAATTTTATAGCCTTATGTGTAAAATAATAAAAAGATAAATATTCATTAAATTAAAATTATAACATTAAATTAAAAAGTATAAATTGTACTTTGAAAATAGAAAATAATCAATTATAGTAGCATACTTAAGATTTTTACCTAGTCACCTACTTCCAGTTATAAGACTAGCAACTTCTGAGGACCTAATATACAGGATATAGTGATTATATCTAATAATACTGTATTAAATCCTTGAAACTTGTTCAAAGAGTAGATCTTAAATGTTCTCATGTCCAGAAAGAAATGGTAATTATGTGACAGGATAGAGGTGTTAGTTACTATCATTTTCTAATATATAAGTGTTTCAGATCAACAAATTGTACACTTTATTTTTATTTATTTATTTATTTTCAAATTGTACACTTTAAAGTTACAGAATGTTCTATGTCAATTATATCTCAATAAAACTATGGAAAAAAAGACTGTCACCTAAAAATCAAATGTCATGGTCTCTTCATCATAACAAAACAACAAATAATATTACCGCTTCCTTCGGAACAAAAAGTGATCAGCCAGCCAATACCAGCAGCAAATGCAGTTTGTATGGAGTTAACAAAATTTCCTTAAGAGAAAATAAAGAAAATTTCTGATCATTTACTATTCCACAATGGAAACCATTTTCTATATGGGTTTTCCCATCTAATCTCATCCATTTCCAATCTACTCCTGAGCAGTTTTCAGGATTCCTATTGAGCATGTCAAATTCCTACCCTGACTTTTTCAGTCATATAAAATCTAAATTTATTATTAAGAAAGAAACTCAAATTGGCAAGTTAGGCCCCTTGTGATCTGAGCTTTGCCTACCCGTTCAGTTGGTTATTCCTGCCCCAAACCACTCTACTCATCACCCATCTTTTGTTAGATTCATGAAATATTGCAGATTCCCAATACAGTGACCTTTTAAGGATTCCTCTTTACTTTCATGACAGATTGGATCTGATTTCATTAAGGAAGAATTTCCTAACCCTTCCTCCTTTCCCCACCTGAATTCTTTCATATCCTTCAAGCTTCCCTAAGCTTACCTCTATCATAATAGTCACTACTCTGTATTTTAATGGTTTAATAACGGGGTCCCAGAAGGCAAAGATTATACAGTTTATGGCTGCAGCCCTAGTATTTAACAGCTTTGGAGACATAACTAGATTCATTAAATGATATGAGCATCCCTTTAGAAGTAAATACTATAATTTCATGGGTAGTATAGAGTAATTACATAACTCCCCTAAAGACACCTGATGAATTAAATGCCTGAGATTAGAAGAGTTCTTAAACTTCAAAATTAAATTGAATAGGCATAAATTTACACCTGATATAGTATACTTATGGAAGAAAGAAAACACTTGTTTTACTAAATATTCAGTTGTACTTTCAAAGTTGCCTTTTCACCTAGCCCCATCTCATATCCATATCCTACATCAAACTTGTTTTCATTTCTGTATAAATTAAATTTATTAAAGGCCTACTATTGAGCAGAGCTCAGAACAAATGACATAATTCCTTTCTAAGAAGCATGGAAAAGATAATATGACCAGAACATTAATATTACTACTGAAAAATCTGAAATACCAATTCAAAGTATCCTTGAAAATCAAGCAAATTATGAAGACAAAATTACCTGTCCATAATTCTGTCACTGTGCTTGTAACATGCTGCATGGCGAAATTCATTAAACTTTCTTTTGATCTGTCACCATGGTACTTCACTGCAGCCTATATTTTCATTTATAAAAAGAGAAACATCTTTTACTTTTTTAAGACTCAAACAAATACCTTGATTCTCCATTATTCTGAATAAGTAAAATATGTCTTTCAATGGTAAAGTGTTTTTCTAAATGACATGCTAATAATCTTGATTGCATGGATTCCCTATCAGACATTTTAATAATATTACTTATAATTGTTTTAGTTTCAGTTTTATCACTTAACACTGGGGAAAGAAAGGGAAATTAGAACTTCATATTCAATGACAGAAAATACCTGTAAAATACTTTGTAAATTATAAAGTACAGCACACATATTGGTTATCATTATATCCCTTAAGATGGAAACTGAAATTGGCAAACATTTTGTTAAAGTAATATCATCTAAAAGTATTTACAGTATAATAAAAAGTGTTTATTATGACTATAGCATAGTTAGATAGCACCTAAAATAAGAAAAATCAAAAGATTCTACAAATTCACATATTGTGTTTTCTCTAGTATTCCTCTTGTTATAGTGTTCCATCAAAAAAAAAAAAAAAGCCAATTTTATATCTTACCATTCCAGACCTAAAAATGAAGAGGCTGGGATAACTGTTGACTCCTTTCATTCGGCAAAGCATTCTATCATCGCCACAGTTAACTGCTCCAATTCGAAGCAATCCATCTACTTCTTTTGCAAAGTCTCTCCACTATGAAGAAAAAAAAGTAGTTCTCTGATAAAATAATTTACGTTTCCTTGAACATTCTTCAAACTGCACTTCCTTAAAAGAGAATATATTCATGAAATAAAACCATAAACATGTGAAAAAATATGATAGCTATTTCTGATAGTCAAATCCTAACATATTTTTAAAAACACTCAAATAATAGATAAACTGTAAATAGTAAAACTTTAATAATCAGGATGTAGAAATACTCACTGTGGGAGCTAAATCATGGCAGTGTGAACACCCTGGGGAGTAAAAGTTCACAAACCACAGTTCTCCAGAATTAACAGCAGCATCTAAAAATACATAAACCGAACAACTTATGATTATTTACTAAAGGTTTGTACATGTTTTAGTTCAAAATTTTCCTTGAGATCAAAATGAAAAAAAGTCATACATCTTTCATACTGCCTTTATCATTTTCTATACATTTTCTTTTCTATAAGAAAAAAACATACTATTTCAACTGTCAAACAATACCTTTAAACAAAAAAACAAAAAACCTCTTCCAAGCTCTATCTCAATAAGATGCAATCTTGAACAGCATGATCTATGTCACTAAGAAGCTGTAAAAATAAAGGAAGCAACATAAGGAAGCAACAGTCAAACCTCACAGAGGTTTTATGGATGACAAAAATGGAGAAATGACCAGAGAGACTGGGGTTTCAGGCTCTTCTACCATCTGCAGCACCGGTTTAGCACACAGTCAAACTCTGACGGCTGCTCCAGATTACAGAAGAATGCGGTCAGCGACCTATGTGACAGTAAGGGCTGTGCAGATTAAACCTAACCTTTGCTCTTAGTAGGGGCTTCTCTTGTGACTCAGCTGACAAAGAATCAGCCTGCAATGCAGGAGACCTGGGTTCCATCCCTGGGTTGGGAAGATCCCCTGGAGAAGTGAAAGGCCACCTACTCCAATATTCTGGCCTGGAGAATTCCACGGACTGTATAGTCCATGGGGTTGCAAAGAGTCAGACATGACTCAGCGACCTTCACTTTCACTTTTTGCTCTTAATAAGACATTTTCTTTGGAAAACTGTGCTATCTGAAGTATTAGATCAAGGTTTTTAACAATTCAAAACATGAATACATATTTGCTAAAATAATAGACCCAAACACTACATAATATTTACTCAACAATTATATTACATGTTATAATCTAACTTATAAAGGACCTGATACAAACAAAATCCATTCATTTAAAAATTTTATGATTGTACGGATGTGCTCTAACATTCAAGACAAAAAGTTTAAGACAATTTGCTTTTGGCTAAAGAGTTTCCATATAATTCCACACTAAAATCAGCAATTTTGAAAGAAAATTTCCAAAAGTCATAATAAATTATACTAAGACATCAAAACATGCATACTATTTGAAATACATATAACTGATTCAGGTTAATTAGTAATGTCTGCAGTAATGTTCACCTACATTTCAATGCCAAGACACATGGATCTGTGGGAAAAATTACAGGCAAAGTGTGTACATTAGGATTTTGTTGGCTGTTCTTTGGCCAAGTTTAGAAAGTCTGATGAACAGACCACTCTACCCAGGCTGTCAAAATAACTGCCATGCTGCCTTGGACCACCAACTGGTAGGAACTGAGGTAAAATCTTACACGTTCTCTGCCCCATTCTTCTGGGACCTCTATCATGCAAGTGTTAGTATGGATGATGACGTCCCAGAGGTTTCTTTTTTCTTCCAGAGGTTTCTTAAACTGTCCTCATTTCTATACTGTTTTCGTTTTTCTGTTCCGTTTCAGTGATTTCCACTGTCTTCATCTGCATCATATAATCTACTTGTTGACTTCTTCTAGCGTATTTTTTACTTAAGTTATTGCATTCCTCACCTCTGTTTAGTTGCTCTTTGTTTTCTAACTCTTTATTCAAAAACTTCTAACTTCTCACTCTGTTTATTCAATCTTCTCCTAAGTTCTCTGAACATCTTTAAAGTGATGAAAGGGAAAACCTACAGCTAGGAATACTCTACCCAGCAAGGCTGTCATTAAGATTTGAAGGACAGATTCAAAGTTTTAGAGAGAAGCAAAAGCTAAGAGTTCATCACCATGAAACCATATTTACAAAAAAAGTTATAGGGACTTCTTTTCTTAAAATTTTATTATTTTTTTAACTTTTCTTTTATTGGAGGATAATTGCTTTACAATATGGTGTTGGCCTCTGCCATATACTAACATGAGTCAGCCACAAAGGACTTACCTAAGTGAAAAAAGAAAAGGCCACAACTACAAAGATGAAAATTATGGAAGGAAAAAAATATCACAGTTAAAGCCAAATATACAGTAAAGGTAGTAAATCTGTCATGTATAAAGCTAGTAGGAAGGTTAAAAGACAAAATAGAAAAATCATTTATACCTGCAAGAAGTAATTAAGAAACATACAAAAATATATAAAATATGATGTTAAAATCTGTGAATGTGGTGGTGGGGGGAGTAAAATGTAGGGTTGTTATAATGAGTTTGAACCTATGAGATCAGCAACTTACAGACTGCTATGTAGTGTGAGGAATATCCTCAGTAACTATACAGTTTCTGTGTATGGTGACATATTGTAATTAGATTTACTGTAGCAATCATTTTGAAATGCACACAAATGACAAATCTCTATGCTGTGTAACAGGAGCTAACACAGTGTTGTAAGGTCATTACACTTCAAAAACAACCTCCCAGAAAAAGAGATCAGATTTGCAGTTGGCAGAGGCACAGGTGGGGGAAAGGGGTAATTGGATGAAGGTGGTCAAAAGGAAGAAACTTTTAGTTACAAGACAAAAAACTACTACGGATGTAATGTACAACACTATAATCAACAATGCTGTATATTATATATAAAAGTTGTTAAAAAAAAATCCTGAGCATTCTCATTATAAGAAAATTTTTTTCTATTTAAATTTGCCTCTATATGAGAATGAAAAGAAAACTGTTTTCCACCTTGGTACTTTGTTTTCATAGAGTACTTCTCATCTGCCCAGTTCCCACTACTGTTGACAATATTTGTAAAACTATTATCAAAGCTCAATGAGATGTTTTTGTACAACTCAGTGACCCAGAAAAGAACAAGTATATTTCAAAATGTGACTTTCAATTTCTAAACAATACAGCTAATGTTTGTTAATATTTCTACAATTATAGCTAGCAGCTTTTGTTAGCCCCAGAGAAATGTTTAAAAAAAAAGCTAAAGTGCTTTGAGTTCCTCTTTCATTTCTTGAGTTTGTCTTCAAAAGAATGCATGTATTGTGTGGGTACTACTCCAAATGACTAGTGTTAAGTGCAGGATGTTCTGGTTTTGCAGATACTATCTAGAACTTGTTTTTAGTAACGATGTAATACTTTTCTGTAACTTTTAAAAAGATAATACAAATCATGTTTAATGGGAAGGATAAGAACTTCAAAGTGAAGTGTATTAATCACATTTTCTCTTTTGTATCACAGTTGAATTCTACTCCTGATAAAAGTGAACTATGTAATCCGAAGAATTGATGCTTTTGAACTGTGGTGTTGGAGAAGACTCTTGAAAGTCCCTTAGACTGCAAGGAGATCCAACCAGTCCATCCTAAAGGAGATCAGTCCTGGGTGCTCATTGGAAGGACTGATGCTGAAGCTGAAACTCCAATACTTTGGCCACCTGATGTGAAGAAATGACTCATCTGAAAAGACCCTGATGCTGGGAAAGATGGAAGGCGGGAGGAGAAGGGGACAACAGAGGATAAGAATGGCTGGATGACATCACCGACTCAATGGACATGAGTTTGAATAAACTCTGGGAGTTGGTGATGGACAAGGAGGCCTGGTATGCTGCAGTCCATGGGGTTGCAAAGAGTTGGACACGACTGAGCGATTGAACGGAATTGAACTGATGTAATTTGGATTAACTCTCCCACCACAACTGAAGAATTGGACAAAATACAAAAGACTTGCCTTGAAAGCGTCAGAGTCACCAATGCGGTTGAAGAATTACGGGACCCCTAAGAACGGGAGGAGGTAGAAATCAGGGGGCCAATGTTTGCCACCTCTCGATAGGCAAGAAACTAAGCAGAGCTTTCAATAGATTCATGAGACAAGAGACACAAAAATGAAGTTCAGGGCACACGTAGAGAGGGTTCTATATATAAAGGTGAACTGAAAAGAGGCTGGTATTGTCCAAGTCCAAAGCTCAGCTTTTGAATCATTTCAATCCCTGGAAAAAACTGATCTAAGGTTGTTAGTGACTCTAGTCAAAAGAAAACATAATTTCTCTCTAGAGCAAAAGAACACAGCACACCTTAAAAATAACTTCATAATTACTTATTAGTTACACAAAAGACAAGTTAAGTAACCCCAAAAGTAGAAACTATTGGTAATAGGAAGAGACCCACACCAAGTAGGCGGATGTGATATTTACATAAGCACAAACGGGTAAGGACTATCCATCCTAGGCCTCCTCCCTCGGCTTCTTCAACTGAAACTCTGGGATCACCCTGCCTTAGTCCAGTCACACACAGGGTCGTATCAGAGTTCAAATGGAATACTGGCCACTTTGCACTGGACCTGTCGACGTCATTTAATTATTTCTAAATAACTGTCTCTAAGATTTTGTGACTGTAATCTATTTTTAACTACTATTTGGAGTTCTCCACGAACTATTAGCAGTTCTTAATTTAACCTTTTCTCTGTAATGACTAATCTGAAAAAGTCTGAACCCATGTGCAATACAGCCATCAGGAAAGTCTTTCATTCTGGGTAGGTTCATGGATTAATCAGCTTGCAGGTTTTGCTCAGTTTCTCAATCTCTAATTCCAAAGTTTTCTGTACCATAGGACCACAAAATACTTACTGATAGACTAGCAAATGAGACAATAACGACATAAAAAGCAATAGGTTCATATAACTACCTGCCAGTAAGTCATGATTCTGCCAGCCTGTGACATGAGTATCAATTCTGTCTACCAATAATAACAAACAAATAAAATTTTCTTCCATTTCTTTTATAAAGATATTAATTAATGTTCCTTAGAACTTATTCAGGTATTCACTACAAGACTTTAAACAAAATAATGTACTGAAGAGCTACCTTGCAGACCTGAACTCACTATGTTGTAGAAAATACGAATATGATGCAACTTTTGCTTACAAGGAACTGTAAAAAACTCACTGGTTGTAACACATTGTTTATTAAAATGAGAAACTATATATGTTTTGCACCTAGTAAGTTATTTTAGTTAATTAAATGAAACTGTAACAAAGCAAAATAAAATTGAAATATGATTTAAGGTAAAATATAGTTTTAAAGTAGAATATTTTATTGAAAGTGTACTAGTTTGAAAGTGTAAGAATAATGAACGTTTTCTAAAGTACACTGCAAAGTACAGAAGTATATTTTTATATCCATTTTCACAGAGATCAAAGTAAATCTACTTGCAAAAATGACCACATACTTATTTAAAACTCTGAAACACAAAACTAGAAGTATTTCTGCAAGTTTGCAGGAAGCTCACATGGCATACAAACTTATCCTGAACTGATATGGGGGGGCTATGTATAATGTTTACTTCATTTAGTATACATACTGAGGCATTTCACTGCATAAATATTTTTTAAAAATAGTATACTAAAAAAAAAATAGTATACTGCCCCACATTCTGTTAAGAACTTTGTTTTTAATCAGTGCTGATATTTTAATTTTGTTCCCACCCAGGTTTTATGCTCTATGCATATATATGTACATCACTTGTATGATCTGTATTATACTGCATATACATTTTTGTATTAGGCTTTTTTTCATATAACATACTCTTAAATATACAATTTTTTAAATGTGAAAAAATATAGAGAAATAGGATATTGGTTCATTATCTCAAATGTGTCAATTATACACAAACACACAGGTATAGAATGTTGAGGATGTTGCTAGCACTTCTATGGTTTCCTCAACTGCCCAATAAGAGGAATAAAGTATTAATACACAGGAATGTTAGAAAAGTTCATTAACATAATAGAAGGAAAGTTGATGATACGCTAAAATCTACAATAAAAGAAACTGTTAAAATCTCGATGGTGATTACAAAACATTATTTAAAATACAATATATACCATAAACCTTGCTAAAATTAGAAAAATTTCTAAATTCTAAATACATTTGTCTTTGAGGGAATTTTAGTTAAAGAGACTGGTCTTAAACTAGTTTTGGAAAATCATAAATGCACAAACTTACCAAATTCTCTTCTATCCAATGTTATGATTTCAGGATCATCATCATAAATACCTTAATTTTAGAAGTAAATAAAATTATAAAATTAAAACTTCATCATAAAAATAAACACATTAAAATGTCATTTTCTTTCAATCATCAAAAATTATTCTAAATCTCAAGTTGAAGAATATGCAACACTAAGAATCTATTTTTCTAGGGGTAAAGCAAAGAATAAATAGTAACAGTGGTGATACATTTAAAGAGTGATCAAAAGACATTTCCTGATATGTACTGTCACAGGTATTTGTGTTGGGGGTGTAGCTCCTAACAGGCACACAATTTCATCTCCACAGAAAATTTTTATTGTTTTTTTTGAAAAAGCTTTTATTTGAAAATAATTATAGACTTTTATTAAGTTGTGAAAATAGCTCAGACTTCCATTTACCCAGCTTCCCCCAATGGTGACATACTATGTAATTTTAGTACAATATCCAAACCAGGAAATTGGCAATAGTATACTACTTTTAGACTGCATGTTTTTCTTTTTAATGTGCTATCATTTAAAAATGTTCTGTATCACTAAATGTCTTATATAATTAGAGTATTTGCAGAAGCAGAGGCAAACTTAAATATAAAACTTGTTTCTTATAATAACACCAATGTAGGAAAGCTTCTCATTAGTATATAAAATATCAATGAATAAATATTAAGTGATAGACATATGCAGACGTTAGTATTTGATTTTGTGAGACATACGATTTGTCACAACTATGCAACTCTGCCCTGAAGTGTGAAAATATGTACATAGATGAGCAAAACTGTATTCCAATAAAACTTTACAAAACCAGGTGGCAGGCCAGACTTAGCCTGTGAAATAGTGACTACCGACACTTGTTATAGATTATCAAACGATAGTGAATATACCTGAAAATACTATATTGAAAAGTCAGTCTGGAGAAATAAGTACTCCAGATGTAAACTGAAAATATTTTATTGATTCTAAGATAAACGCACACTTGGCTTCTCAGCCTGCATTTGAGGCCAGTACATGACCACTGCTATCAGCAGGCTCCCTCTTCGCGTGACACCTGTGTTTACTCTCCCCTCCCTCGATCTCTTTCACTTGTTGACTCTCTCTGCTCTTGCCTTCTCATTCCTGTCACACCTTAAGCCATTACTCATTACTAATTAAGAAGGATGGTATTTCTACTGAAGTGACCACTATTAAAGGAAACTTCAATCTTTCCTGGAAAATATGATACTCTAAAAATACTAGAAGGCTTCAATATTTAACTTCTAATACAAATATTTTAAAAAATTAAATACAATTGTTATAAGTATTTAACAAGATTATGACCAAAACACCTCCATATTTACTCAGGTATCTACATACTACTTGATTTTCCTCTTGAATTCCACTCCCATGTTGCATTAAAAAGAGGATCTAGGGGATGCACATTAATTACATAAATAAGCTAACTGGTGAAACAAAATTAATTTTCTAAATTTACTTGAATAAACAATAACTTCATAAGGAACATCTATCATCTTACCAAAATCATAACGGTAGTAATTCCAGCTTTCATACTGGCCTCCTTGATTATCTGCAAGTCCCTTTTCTCCATATTTGTCGTATTTTTTCCGCAGATCTTCATCTTTGAGTACTTCATATGCTCTATTTATTTTCAAAAAATCACTATGTGCATTTGGGTTATTCTATTAAAAATATTAGATATAATATTTGTTTCAGATACACAATTAACTGATTTAATTCTGAGAATTCTTTGAGTAGATACCAAGACAAGGAGGAGTAGTACAATATGAAATGGGCATCACATATTGAAATAAAAAAGTAAGAAAGTATTTTTAAAAAACTACACTCTTAAAAAAATAAGAAAAGTTACAGAGAAATGAGAATTAATGCCTCAAGAGGTTGACAGAGGTGGTCATAAAATATGACCTCTAATAGATGCAACAGAGAAACCGGACTAATGAATCCTTGGAAACAATATGGTAAATATCATGTGTGACCTCTAAAACAATCACAAAGAAAATTTTAGGCAAATTTTGAGGCAAAATAAAAAAAAAGTATGTAACCCAATCGATTATAATGACATAAGAACTAATACCAGAGTAATAACTCAAAACTGGACTGATATGTTTTATTTGTCAGTGTTTCATAGAATTGCTTTTTGAAGAATGCTTTCATTTAAATCAGCAAGTCCCAACCATTTTGGCACCAGGGACCCTCTCAAAGAAGACAATTTTTCCACAGATGGGATGGGGCGTGGGGTGTGGTTTCGGAATGACTTATGCACACTACATTTATTGTGTATTTATTTCTATTATTACATCAGCTCCACTTTAAATTTTCAAGAATTAGCATCTAGGGGTTGGGGACTGCTGAATTAAGTACTTAGGTGGGTCTACCATCTTTCATACAGAAACTTAAAAGAAATGACGTTTGAAAATTTAAAGAAAAATTTGTAAAAATGAAAATCCTAAACACAACAAAATATTGATCTCAGGAAAAGATTACCAATTAACAAGAGTTTTAGAGAAATACCAATTCTATTGCTCGGGTTTATGTGATGGAAATAAAATAATCCTACTTAAAATTCTATCTAGGGACTTCCCTGGTGGCCTAGCGGTTAGGATTCCTTTCATTGCAGTGGCCTGGGTTCAACCCCTGGTCAGGGAAGATCCAGCAAGCAGAGTGGTGTGGCCAAAATAAAAATAAGTAAAAATAATTTAAAAAATAGTTATTGAAGTTAACAATAAAAACTTTACCTAGAAAATTATAGTTAAATCTTTCTTAATGATGAATATCAAATCTCATTAAGAAAAAAAATGAAATGAGATAAATAATAAAAATATCTTAAGAATTAAAACAGTTTTGAAAGATTATATTATGGAATACATAATACACAAATATTTATGATCGGCATTAACTGGATTTGGCTGCCAAGTTTTAATTTGTAATACTTTCTGATTCTGGTTTTAGATTTGTACATAGCAGAAAAAAGTTGAAGCATGCTGTTAACAGCTCTTGCTGCTGTTTTTAGCAAGACACACCCTCTGTATGTTCTAAGCAAATAATTTTTCTTAATGTTCTAAAATACTTCATTTTAACCTGCTTTACAAAGAAAACTACTTCTGCTCTGTCATTAACATCTGTAATAGAACTGCTGGAAATTAGTTTTCAAATTGAGAGAACTGCATTTTGATATTGACATTCCTTTAACTCCTCTAAACTTAGACTATTTAGCTTCCTGTTTTTAGCACAGATGTTTAACTGTGATTTTTGACTAGTAGTGGTTGTTCTTAAGAATTCTGAGCACTAATTTAAAACACATTAATCAGAAATGGTTAAAAAGAAATTTTTACCTACCGGGTTTTTATCAGGATGTAGCTTCAATGCCAATTTCTTGAAAGCTTGTCTTATTTCTCTACTGCTTGCAGTTTTGGATACTCCAAGTAAACTGTAAAAATCCTGATCTGTACCCACTAAAATGGCCATATACATTATTAGAAAAAAGAGCATGACCCTTTTCAAGTCTCTGACATAGTCATCTTTATTTAACCAGATTCCCATTGTTTTTCTTGTACAAGTTCTGATTTAAATAAACATTAAGATAAGGCCACTGGTTCCAGTTGATGTAATATACAAATTTGAGAACTTGTGTCCACATTACTCCAAAAGTGAAACAGGCATCATAAATTGTCTCCCCAAATGTTAATCTAAAGAGAAAAAATCAGGTAAAATACATTAAAAACCAACAACAAAAAAAACCCCAACCCATCAACAGCACTATTTATTAAATAACATGACCAGTAATATAATCTCCAGTAAATGGCAAATCAGGGTGAGTGCCTCAGGCCCTGTTCTTTGCGGGCCTGCTTCATTCTTCCATTATCTAGGTAGCCAGGTGCATGCGATCATTTGTGTCAAGACAGCAGATAAAGGTAAAAAAAAAAAGAAAAGGGAGCTGGTGTGGCTGCAGCTATCTAGAACGTTTTAGAAACAAATGCAACAATTCGCTCTCTCGGCATCACAACAGGGGAGGGGGCTGGTGAACAGGAGGTGAAGAGCTACTTCCTTCCTTCTTCTACCCAGCTTAAGACTGGCCCTTTTGATCTGCTTCCTTTTTGGTTATTTCTCCACCCATTTACGCCTATCCAGTTTTCATTTCAATCAAATTTCACTTGTAGGAAATATCTTTTGGGGGTACAAGAAAGAAGCACCAGATCCTTCCAAAGAGTCTGTATTTTTCATAAAACCGATGCAAGTAGAACGGCAGTGAATTTCTATCACTGCAACAGACAACGTACAAAGTCCCCGTTTTTTCTTCTGAATTTTCTCAGAAGGTGCTTTTGTTCTATCTAAGCAGTTACTATTTTATATAACCAGCAGAATAATAACTGCAAGTTAACTGTAATTTCATTACAAAGTTTACATTTGGCATAAATAAAAATAGAAAAACAGAAAAGCAGCAATCAGTTATTCAGACACGCCAACCTGGGCAGGATAAAAATAAAATAAAATCACATGCAAATTTGTATATACTTTAGTTTCAAAGATCTCATAATGTTTCGAAAAACCCAACTTTCCGAGCATTCTCAGTTCCTCCTTTCGTCCTTTAATCTTAAATGCCTATTTTAACTTTTTTCTCACCTGTGGACGGTTTTCGATTCATTTCTAATCCTTCCTTTTCACGTCACCAAAAAAACCTTTGTAAAATAGAGCGATGTAGATTAATAAACATCCAGACTAGAAGACATTTAGAATAAAACAGAGATCATATTAGCAAACACCATTTGACAAGTGCTTCTTGTCCCCTGCGCAGCGGTGGTTCTCAAAGTCAGCGTGGGCGTGCCGGACTAGCTGCGCGCCGAGGTGCGGGGACAGGTAGAAGCTGCAGGTAAATGCAGCACAAACTCCTTGCAGCCACCACTTCAGAATGGGTTGCGGCGACTGGGGAAAGATGTAGACATTGGGAGCCAAGGGGTGCTGGTGTGTGAGACCTCAGACCGGGCTAGTGTGCCAGGAATCTGGATAACTGAGGCTAAAGGGAGACATTAAAGGCGCGGAACCACTGAAGAAGGGATGGTGTGGCTAGCAGGGGGAAAGACGACTGGGAGCGAGAACACTAAAATCCAGCCACAGGAGAGAAGAGCGCGGGGGAAGATTCCAGCGCAGAGGCCATTTCCGCCCTCCCTTCCCGGAGAGCCCAGGCCGCCACCAGCTCCAGCAAAGCCCCGGCCCCGGGTCCAAGCCCACCTCGGTGTTGCGGGGTCGTCTCCTGCAGCTACTTCCCCATCCTCAATCCCCGGGGGCGGACCCCACACGGCCAAACACAACCTATGCGTTTCGGAAGGAAGCACGTACTCGCTGACCGCTGGGCCGCCGCGCCCGGGATGGGGCTGGACCAGCCACACCGGCAGCTAGCTGCGCGACCGGCTCCGGTCTGCGCCTCGCGCGGCGGTCTCCTAGGCGAGGCGGGGCGGGGCCTGGCGCGGGGCATTGTGGGAAAGGTGGGGAGGCCGCAGCTTGGGAGGATTCGCCTAAGGACCTGCGGGCCCAACAGGGTGGGGAGGGCGGTGTAGGTTTAGGTTGACGTGGCCCTCGGCGCGGAATCCGGCTCCGGCTCCGGCTTCAACCCGGAGCTGAAGAACACGCTGTAACCACGAAGCCCCCGCACCCGCACCATTGCGGCTGGCGCGCGCCGCGGGCCGGACGCAGGACGACGTATCCCGCCCCTTCCTGCTCCCGTTGCTCTGGTTACGGCAACTATTCCGAGGGCTGGTTTAGGCGTGCAATTTCTCGCTGACCCTGTTCTTAAAGGGAAAGGCAGAACCATTACAGTACTTGTCTGTTTGGTGGGTGAGTGGGGCAGCAAGGGGAAATTTTGAAGGAAAAGGGATTACCTGAAGTGACATTGACAGCAGTGTCAGTCTAGAGTGAAGAGGCAGTAGGAAATTTGGAAGAAATAAAAATATTTATGAGTGTGTGTGTAGGCGACAAACGTGAGTGTTCTACTGTTTTGTCCGACTTCCTGGTCATTCAAGCTGGAAACTGGGGAGTTGTGCATACTCCTCTCTCCCACGTTTATATCTAAATAATATGGTATAGAAACTGCATTTTGATCTGCAGCATTATAACTAGGCTTCCCGGAAGGGTAAATCAGCCTGCCAGTGCAGGAGAGGTAACAGACAGAGGTTCAATCCCTGGGTGGGGAAGATCCCATGGAGTAAAAAATGGCGACCCACTCCAGTATTCTTGAGTGGTAAATCCCATGGACAGAAGAGCTTGGCGAGCTACAGTCCATGGGGTCACAAAGAATTGGACATGCCTGAGAACACTGAGCGCGCACACAATATAACTAGAACAGTTGAGGTAGATGCATTTGCAACCATGAAAAGAAAAAACATCTGAATGAAAAGAATGCCTACGTATGACAGCAACCTTAATATAAGTGGTAATTGGTAACAATTTCACGTGTACTAAATCAAATGTCAGCTTGTTAAAAAATGATGAGCATGTAGGATCCATAGCTAAACTAATACCTGACCGGAAAGAAGAGAAAGTAGCCAGAGCAGGCAGAAATATTAGAAGTAGCCTCATGTAGCTAAGGAGTGCCATGAACTGGTCTAAGTACACATGTAATTCAGTCCTCCAAGTTCTCTTATATGATAGGGACTATTATTATATCCATTTCACAGTTGAGGAAAACAAGGTAAATATATGATAGAGCTGGGGTTCATACCTGAGCAGCTTGGCTCCAGAGACTGTAATGTTAATCATTATGCCACACTGTGAGCCACCAAAATCTTTAGAGTAAATTGAAAAGCAAAAAGGAAAACTGGAGAATCAAGAAGGGACCACATTACAGTGGGTTTTATGCCATGATGAAGACTACCTTTCAGATAATAAGAAAGCTATTTAAAGCTTTTAAGTAAGGGACTGAGATTGTATTTTGGATCATTCTGGTAGCTACTGGAGAGTGAATACAAAGGGGCCATGACTGGAGAAATGGAAAACAGAAAAGTAAATTTGGCAAGAAATGGTAATTGTTGGATGTGGGAGATAAAGAAAGGACCTAAGGTTAACTTGTGGTTTAGGTGGCTGAGTACCACTCACTGAATGAAGATCTATTTAGGGAAAAGATAAAGGCTTCTGACTTGGATATATCTATTTCACATTTCCTAGATCATGTCGAAATAAAGACACAGAGTATAATATTCATGGAAAGTGTCTAGACTAGAGAAGAAAACAGGAGATTATCCTGTGGTAGTTGGACCCATGAGCATGAATAAGATTACTCAGAAAAAGTATGCAGAATAAGAAAAGTTGTGGACCAAGGATAAAATCTTGGGAAACTCTTAACATTAAGAATGTCTTATAGTCAATGAAACATCAACAAAATGATAAGACAATCTATGGAATGAGAGAAAATGTTTGTAAATCACGTATCTGATAAAACATCTGTATTCAAAATATATGAAAAACTCATACAACTGAATAGCAAAAAAACTCACAAAACAAATTTTAAAAATATTCAATTAAAATATGGGCAGAGGATCTGAATAGACATTTTTTCCTAAGTACAGATGTCCAATAGGTACATGAAAAGATGCTCAGACTCACTAATTGTTATTGAGTCCAGGGTCATACTCACTGCTTCCTGCATAGCATTCCAATAAATGGAGAGACCAGCTTTTTAGCAACTTTATTCAGAAAGCCATCAGACTGAGAAGATGGCAGATTGGTGTCCTAAAAAACCATCTTGCCTGAGTTAGAATTTAGGCTTCTTTTATACTAAAAGTGGAAGGAGTAAAGTCAAATGTTTCCTGGTTCAGGTCAACCTCCAGAGGGGTTGTGTTAATTTTGTCCTGCCTGTAGACATTCACCGGTGGGCCTGGTCAGGATGTTTCCTGTGAGCTATACAAAGGAATTGTAGCTTAATGCTCATTATTTGGGAGGCTGGGTTCCCAGAGATGGATATTATGAATAATTTAAGCTTATAGGCACCATCCCTTTAGTGATTAACTTGTAATAGAATACAAAGTTTCTTCCCTATTACATAATCATCAGTTCAGTTCACTTAAGTTCAGTTGCTCAGTCATATCTCACTCTTTGCGACCCCATGAATCGCAGCACACCAGGCCTCCCTATCCATCATCAACTCCTGGAGTTTACTCAAACTCATGGCCATTGAGTCAGTGATGCCATCCAACCATCTCATCCTCTGTCATCCCCTTCTCCTCNATGGAGACAGCCTAAATGTTCACTGAAGGGTGAGTAGCTAAGAAAAAAAAAATATATATATATATGTAGTGGAATATTATTCAGCCATAAAAAGAATGAGATATTGCCATTTGAGACAAATGAATGATCTTTAAGGGTATTATGCTAAGAGTAATGAGCTTGTAGAGTGTTATTTCACTTATATGTGCATTCTAAAAAAAACCCCAAACAAAAGACCAAGCTCATAGATATAGAGAATAAATTTGTGGTTGCCTGAGGCTGAGGGGAGGAGGGGGGGAATGGGGGAAAGGGGCAAAAGGTTACAAACCTCCAGTTATGAAATAAGTTCTAGGGATGTTAAGTACAGCAGGGTGACTATAGTGAATAACACTGTTTTGCATATTTGTAAGTTGCTAAAAGAGTAGATCTTAAAAGTTCTTATCACAAGGATCAAATTCTATAAAATTTTTATTATGGTGATGATTTCACAATATATACAATTATCAAATGTTATGTCGCATAGATGTGTGTGCTCAGTTGCTACTGATGCTTTGCAACCCCATGGACTATAGCCCGCCAGGCTCCTCTGTCCATGGGATTTTTCTGGCAAGAATACTGGAGTAGGTTGCTATTTTCTCCTCCAGGGGATATCCTTGACCCAGGGAACGAACCCAGATCTCCTGTGTCTCCTGCATGAGCAGGTGGTTTTTTTTTTTTTAACCACTGTGTCATCTGGGAAGTCCTTATGTTATACACCTGAAACTAATATAATACTGCAAGTGAATTTCTACCTTAATTAAAAAAACAGAAGAATGTAGTTCCTCAAAGAAAGGGATTTTTGTTTAATTAGTATTGTATCCACAGTTGTTCCTGGCCTATGGTAGGTACTAAATAAATATATTTTTTAATAAACAAATTAATTTGTGGAGTAATCTGAAAAAGACGACCTCATCAAAGAGTCAAAAATGAGATAATTAGAGATGTGAACTAAACAACAAGGAAGTTAGTGAGAAAAATTAAGGTAAGATAGTAACTAAAACTTGTTAATTGAGTCTAGTAGTTTGGAGGTTATAGCCACCACAGAAAGCACAATTTTAGTGGGTGATAGGGTGGAAATCAGGTTGCAGTGGGCGGGAGATTGGATGGGAGCTGAAGAAATGGAAATTGTAAGTCTACAGGAATCTACTGCAAGTTTGAGTGAAGAGAGAAACAGGTAAGCTTACTGCAATTCAAGGAGGATGTGGATTCAAGAGAGGAAATGCTGTAGGTTTGAAAAGACTTGAACATGTTTGTATCTGGTTAGGGGCCAAAAAAGAGGAAGGCTGATACATAGAAGAGTCAAGGGCCCAAATGAATGGATTGATCTCAAACAGTTCATTTATTCACTAGTATTGTTTATTGTCCTCTGGGCTTGGTCGTTGGGATAACATGATGAACAAAGGTAAAACTCTACCCCAGAGAGGTAGGATAATGGAGGACACATTAATCTTATATTGAAGGAAATCTGTAATTATGAAGGGAAAATACACAGCGCTGTGAGAATAATTCAGGGAAAACTGACCTTGGAGAGGCAAAAGTTTTGTAATGGTATTACCAAAATAAATAAAATAAAAAAAGAAATTTAATTTATATGGGCAATGAATTAGAGAATGTTTTAGGCAGAGGGAAGACAAGAGCATGAACTTGTACCTCAAAAGCCCATGGGTTGTTTGAGGAACAAAAAGAAGAGAATGCAGTGAGCCTAATGAAGAGTCAACAGGTGACAGGATGATCATGTAAAGGCTTATAGTTTACTTTAAGGATTCTTATCGTTTTTCCTAAGAGCAAGAAAAAGAAGTTATAGACTGTAGAACACCATCATAATCATCATTGTTATTGTTATTATTTTATTAAAAAAAATTTGAACAAGCTTAGACTTCCAAAACAATTCAAAGTGAAAGTGAAAGTGAAGTCGTGTCCTACTCTTTGCGACCCCATGGACTGCAGCCCACCAGGCTCCTCTGTCTATGGGATTTTCCAGGCAAGAATACTGGAGTGGGTTGCCATTTCCTTCTCCAGGAGATCTTCCCAACCCAGGGATTGAATCTCGGTCTCCTGTATTGTAAGCAGACACTTGACCGTCTGAGCTACCAGGGAAGTAAGAATATAATGCAAATAGCTTTGTTTTCTTCAACAATTTGAGAGTAAGTTGCTGATGTTTTCCCATTATTTCCCAAAACTGTGGTATGTATTTTTTACACACAAGGGCAATCTCCTATATACCCACAATACAGTCATCAAAGTCAGAGAACTAACACTGGCACGGGTTATCCCCATCTAATCTACTGCCTAATCCTCATATCCTTGTAGGCTTTGCCAATTGTTCTAATAGTGACTTTGCAGGATCCAGCACAGAACTGCTTGTTTAATTGAGTTGTCATAACTCCTTAGACTCCTTCAGTTGGGAATAGTTCTTCAGTTTTTCCTTGACTTTCA